ATTTAACAGGTCGACCAGCTCTTAGTCGTCATCTCAAGTTTGCCATAGCTCCCGTGAGCACGCCCAGTCTTCCTTACCGATTCTCACTAGTCAAGGGAGGAGAGTTTAAAGCTGATAGTTGGTATGGATCCATTCAACGTAAAGAGTTCTGTTTGGTAGCTATTGTTGGAGAGAAACGTCTACCCAAATCATCAACTAATGGAGACGAGTCAGAGGAAGAGGAGGAGGAGCAAGAGGAAGCAGTAGAAGAGGAAACTGAGGAGGAAGTGGAAGATGGCGATAGTGATTCATCCAGTGATTCTGATAAGACTAAAGATCCACCAGGAGGTAGGAGTGGAGGACAAGGTGAGTAATGAGTGAGTGAGTGTGTACTTGTATATAATGAACTGAATCTATTCCACTATATAGGAGAGTCTACTAGTAATGAGGGAGTAGAGGAAGAGGGGGAGACTGGAGGTGAGCCATTACATGAGGAAGGAAATGAAGAGCAAGATAATGAAAGAGTAGAAGAGTCAAAGGATCATGAAGAACCACAGCATGAAGAAGCAACAGCTCCAAAACCTAGTACTGAGAGTAAGCACATCAACTTGTAGATGCAGTGAATAACATTTTGTGTATAGGTAAAGTTTCCACTGGTGTAGTTGAAAATATGACATATACTGGACTTGTTTATTATGAGAAGAAAGAAGCTGAAGATTTGGTAACATTTACTGTCGCTAAAGATCTTAATGCACTGCTTGAGGTAAATTTTTTAGTAATAATACCTACATTAAATCATTAATATATTTTGTTGCTCACAGTTTATTGATAAGAGACACTCTCGAGCTGAAGTTGACCAAGATATTCTATTTCGTTTCAAAGACCATGATGGATATATTGAATTAAAGTTTGATGCTCCACAAGATGATCCATTCACAGGTTGGAGTATTAAGCCTCACCTTAAGCCTTGTAGAGTAAGTACTGCAATATAATGTATAACTGATGGTTGGTATGCATATATTAATAGTTTCTACGTTGTGATGTTGATAAGTTTGGTGAAGCTAAATATCCTTTTCCTTCACGTTGCCTGATATCAATATATGCATCACCAAATGCTGTACCATCACTACATTACTCTGTACCACTGGATGGAGTGGCTGATCCTGTTACATTATTCATTCATCGATCAATGAGAACTGCTCCTCCTCCTCCTTTAACAGTACAAGGTACTAGCTCAAGCTCCTCTACTGCTAGTATCAGTCAAACCAGGAGAGAGACTGAAGAAAGTATGGTTGATATTAACATAATAACACACTAATCATTGGACTCACCACGCTTGCGTAGGCGGGTACTAAGCAGTTGGGTTGTCATTCTGTCTGTCTGTCATTCTGTCACGAAAATTCCTGTTAATTCCTAGTCAATATCTTTTTTACTGAGCTCTCCTGAGTTATAATTCTTTTAAAGCTTTGAGAAAAAGATAATTTATTTAGCTCCGTTGTATTTTCATAGCAATCCGTGGTAGCAAAAGCTGAATATTTTCAAGAATAGACCACTTTTCCTAGCCAAATCTTCGTGTTTTACTCTATTTGGTCAAGATTAACATTGATAGGTAGAGAAAAGTACCTAGATTAAAAAATATGTGGGGATTTTCTAATCTCTTTTTTGTTAGCGAGTTACAGTTGCTCAAAGTTTGTGATTTAGCCTCTTCGAAAAATTTTCAGGCAGCACTGGGGAAAGCAAGAGCAACCAAACTATCTCAGTCTCTTTTAAATATCTAGGCAAATTTTTTGTGCTTACTCTTTCTTTGAATAGAGCTGCAGATGCTAAAATAAATTTCAGCTTTTCTTGTTTCTCCTACCCACGTGCCATGTTTATCTGCACTGCACTGCTGCTAGGTGCTGACCACACCTATAATTTATTTTATGGATCAGTGCAGTAATTGGCTAATTGCATTGTTGCACTTTGTCAAAATCTATTATCCTTTTTTCAAATATCAAGTTGCTTATATATATATAATATCATGATGGGGGCAGTACAAGTAACACATTATCCCTCAGGTGAATCTCAGCGGGCGAGTCCACGCACCATGGTGCTTCATTGAATTTATATCATTAATAGGTACATTTAGATCTGATATTGCTCATAGAGTAATGATGGAGAATATTGTCCTGATAAAAGAAACTCAAGTTGATCTTTACTTTTTAGCCGATAAACTTTTAGAGAAGAGTATCATAAATGGAAGAGAGAGAAGTCAAGTAACTGATGAACACTGTGGACTGACAGCTGATCAAAGACTACATAAACTACTTAACATTATCATAGGAACCATTAGAGTGGATGGAGAAGTATTTGGTATATTCTTAGATATACTTAGAGAAGAAGGTACTAGAAGAACTATTAAACTAGCTGATAAACTATTAGAAAAATATAATAATATTTAGATATTATGTTCATTATTATTGTTGTTGTTGTTTTGATTATTGTTGATTTTATCAAAGCAATTGCTTTTTGAAAATTACAAAATAAATTAAAGAAAAAATTAATATAAAAATACTCTTGAGTATCTTTTCATGGAGGCAAGTACATGTACAGTTGTCATAGCAACTGTCATTTTCCTCAGCAACGCTACTGATCTAGTTGTTAGAGTAATTCTTCTATAGAAAGTAGAAGGAGGAAGAGAGAGAGGATCAAGAGAGAAAGAATGGAATGACATCATGAGAAGTAACATGACTTACCCTTTTTGATGAAAAGGA